ATCGCGATTAATCACATCCAAAATAAACGTTTTTGTTTACATAATATATGTGTGTGCTGTGTATATTTATTATATATATATATATAAATACACACACACATGCATGTATATATTTAAGAAAAATATGCTATGTTTATATATTAACTATATTTATATATAATATACATTTTATTAATATAAATATATACATGTAAATACATGTAAATATTTTCAAAATATATACTGTATGTGTGTGGGTTTATACTGTATATACATAATAAATATACACAGTACACACATGTATTATGTTAAACAAAAACTTTTATTTTGCATGTGATTAATCGTGATTAATCAATCATTTGACAGCACTAATTACTACATGCAATTTCTGTAATGTGACAAAATTATGATACAGTGTATGATATATGAATGGTATTTACACCTCATAGTATCTTATGTAGATTAAAATGAACATAAAAATAAAATAAGATGATAAAAAAACATTTTTATAATTATTGTACTGCCTTTTTGTTGTATCAGAGTAATGAGCATCTAATGGGAATTATAATGAATAATAACGAGAATTTCAAACAAACTCAAAAATGAAACACTGATACACATTACTTTAAATGAGAACTGGAGGGAAAATATACTTAATTGTTGTCACAAAAAAAAAAAGACAAAAATCATAAATGGTAAAAACAAGCATGGTTTATTTTCTTTATACAAAATATAACTTTTTTGTTTTGATTTTGAGATCATTTATACTACCGTTCAATAGTTTGTAGTCAGTAGGTTTATTTTTAATTTTTTGGTAAGAAATGCGGACCCAGACCTGGAACTGATCACAAACAGCAGGGACAAATCTGATTATACTTTCATAAAAGCAGAAGGAGATGAAAGCATAATATTCCTGCTAGATATCAAAATATCATGCCACATCGTTTACATCACACACAATAGAAAATAAGCATGAACCACAATGGCTTAAATATAACATCAGGAACTCAGTGAACATAGTACATGAATTATAAATGCATACTTTCTGTAATTAATCATTTTGATATCGATTTTGTATTTAAATATTAGACTGTCCAGTTTTTTTTATGTTTATGTTTGTTTTCTTAATAATAATATAACTAATATTTTCTGATAGATAAAATCTGATAAATATAATAAATAATAAAATAAAAATAAATATGATCATAATCTAAACTGTTTTTGAAAGAAGTCTCTTAAGCTCACAAAGGTTTTGTTTATTTGATCACAAATACAGTAAATTAATTTTGTATAGTATATTAATCTTAATACAGTATATTAATATTGTGTAATCTTTTTTTAAATCTTTTTTTTATTTTATATATTATATAAATAATTGTATAAATGTTTTATAAATAAAAATTGTATAAATATTAAATAAAATAATATTTATAAAATGTGAAATATTATTAATTTAAAATAACAGTTTTCTATTTGAATATATTTTCAAATGTGTTCCTGTAATGCATATCGGAATGTTCAGCATCATTAAAAAGAACAGAATTTATTTGAAAATTTCTATTTAAAAAATTGTATTACAAAATTAAATTTGTAATAATTTAAAAGACTTTACTTTCACTGTCACTACTAATCAATTTAATGTCTCCTTGCCAATTAAAAGTATTAATTTCATAAAATAAGATAAAATAAAATAAACCTTACTGACTCCAAACTTTTGCATGGTAATGTATATATTTTTTCTGATGTCCTATATTTGTTTGTTGTGTAAAACAAATATAAAAACTACACACTATGAATACGAATACGAATAAAAAAAAAATGTAGTTTATATTCTGAAAATAATTTGTCAGCGAGACTGTTGTTTCAAGCAGTGACCACTAGATGGCGCACATATCAAGCATATAGTACTTCAGTAGCATTTCCTCACAGTCAAACTCTCAGAGTGATTCAGGCTGCTGTTAGGATCTCTTACCGGCCAGGAGAGGGGTGTGTACGAGTCCAGAGGGCTCCAGGATGAGGACGGGCTGTATGAGCGGCCCGCTCTGCTCTTCCACACCCAGAGGAAACAGCACCGGAGACGCACCCGACACACGACCCAGCTTCAGCGAGCCCAGCTCACTCTCCACCTGCAGAGAACACTTCACATCACGCTACCAGCTTCTGAGTTAAACTTCAGCCTCAAAACAGCTGACGAAACTCGCATGAATGTTATCGTATGATGCATCACCCCTGTAAAAGTACATTACAGCGATTCTAAATGAGTCTCAGGGCAGTTCTGACACGTTTAAAAAATAATAGCTACTAAATGTAAATAACGAATGCAACTAAGACAACATGAAACCATCAAAAACTACATTTTGTTCAAGAACGATTGTTGTACTGTATTTTGTCAACACTTGATGTTTAAACTATATGAGAACTAGTGTGTTAATTCATTACTTTCATATGTAAAGTAACTTTTATTTTAGTTATTCTCATGTTTTCTGAGGCTCTCACTTACTTGTGGGTGATTTTAAAATTCAAAGTGGTATTTTTTTAATGTTGACAAGAGCATGAAACGCTACCCTACAGCCCAGTACAGATGCTCTGCGGCTTGCAGTGTTGACAGAGCTGTTGGTTATAATGGAGCAATGTAGTTTTGTACAATTTTCAATCAATTACAATCTTGTTTAATCAAAAGGGCTGGAATATCCCTAGTGAAAAATAAATATACTAAAATGTATTTGAAATATATTTCATGCTAAGTATACTAAATATACATTTAAATATGTATGTACTTAATAAAAATTGTAATTGTACTTTTGGTATACTAAACTGGTTAAATACTTAAAGTCTGCTAAATTTGAAAAACTAATTTTGTACTTAATACACTTTAATTGTGAGGAAGTAGTGCTGAAGTCCAACTAAAGATATACTGAAGTATGTTTGATTGTGCTAAAGTGGAACTACTGCAAGTATACTTCAGGTACACTTTAACTATTTTGTATTTAAAGACTGATATTATTCAAAGATCATACAATCCTCATCAACAGTGACATTAAAACACATTTTAGGCTTAATATTAAGAAATGTGCATTGCGCACAAGTTGCACTCCAAATAAAGTTTCATTATAATTTTTATATCAGTAAGTCTCAAGCGATATGTCAGCAAATACGTTAATAGGTTTGAACTGAACTATACTTTGTATGAAATAAATGTATTTTAAATATATTACTTTTTAACTAGGGATTATATTAACCAATTATCATCTAGGAACAGAATTATTTGCCATTATTACATATTACCATTATTTTCATAAACAGAAAAATAATTCAAAAACTAATCAAAAATAAAACTCAGGTATTATCGTTTAAATTCAAAAAGTAACATCTCTTGTGAAAAAGAAGTGTGCTTGATTGTGCACTTGTAGTGCACTTCAAACCTTAAAATAATATTTAAAAATGTTACTTGCAGATAATATAATATTAATGAAATAAAAGGCCACTTAAGTTTATACATTTTCTTATCTAACCTAATTTTTTTTATTTTTGAACTACACTTTGCAATGTCAAATTAAACATTTTACTTTAAAGTACATTTTCAATCATTATATTTTATAATCCTTTGTCATATTTTAAAGTAGTACACTTATTTTGATGAGTTGACTAACAAACTAAAGCACATGTAAAGTACTTAATTGTCATTTTAACTGTAGTTTGTTAAAGTTGTGCAATACTTGTAAGGAATTACTGATCACTGACTGTAAGAAAAACCAAGGCTGTCATGTTGATTGTGATACCTTGGTGTTGGCGGGGAGGCCGAGCGTGATGGTGGGGAGACCGGAGGGATTCTGCACTGTGAAGTGAGTTAAAGAGCCGTCCTGCAACAGCAGCCTCTGAGCCTGACACACACACACACACACACACACGCGCACACACACACACGCACACACACACACACACACACACACACACACACACACACACACACTATATTTCAGACTATATTTTTTAAATATATATTTCAGCAAAGCATTATTCATGCATATAATTTACAGATACCTTTATATTTGATGTTGATTTGTTTTATAATAATCAGCCATAAAATTTGGTCATACTTTAGTTTGGGGACCAATTCTCACTATTAACTATGACTTCTGCCTCAATAAACTCCTAATTTGCTGCTCATTAATAGTTAGTAAGGTAGTTGTTAAGTTTAGGTATGAGGTAGGATTAAGTGATCTAAAATATGGTCAGAATAAGACATTAATATGTACTTTATAAGTACTTATAAACAGCCAATATGTCAGTAATATGCATGCTAATAAGCAACTAGTTAATAGTGAGAACTGGTTCCTACCGATAATTTAATTCAATTGATTCAGTTGAAGAAATAATACTATTTTGTATTAGGATTTTGAAAGGAAAAAAAAATTGCCCCAGACATTAATTTCCATGGGGAAAATACTGACCATTAATAAAAAAGTTTAAAAAAATCTCAGTGATCTACTCTTGCGTGCGAGCGGACGAGGCTCCTGTGTGCGACCCATCAGAGAGCTGTGCATTTATGCAAGCCCAAAAATGGAGTAATAAAGCGATGAGGAGGCTTGGGATGGAAACGGGAGATTGGGTGTCCTGGCAGCTGCCTGCAGCTGTCCTTCTCCAGTGTCTTTGTTTAAAACATGTCATTATGCCAAAGGGCGGCACGAAGCAGGAACCTCCTGAAACAAGCCCAGTCGAGCTCCGCTTTCTCAACAAACGCCCCAAACAAACAACTCCCACCAGAGGAATATTAAAGAACCGTCCCATCATGCCTCTCTGTGTGTGTGTGTGTGTGTTTGTCTGGGAGTTTGTCCTCTCCACAACATAAAAAGTGTTGTATTTTTTTTTTTAAAAGGGAGAAGCTAGATACATTTTAACTGCACCGACTGACTACATCATTACATAATGAGCCATTTTCCATAATTGTTAGGATTTATTTAGACCTTCCCATTATAAGGATTAAGGCAAGATACACCTTAGACACCGGGCTGAGGAGTGTATTTTGGGAGTGTGAGGACTGTTACCTCATGGGACAGGCTGGCGGTGGCGGGCAGCACTCCGTTCTCGTTGGGCAGACTGTCGTTTGGGGAGCTGCAGCCGGACACTGGAGTGCTGCTGCTGCTGGGGGACGAGTCTGAGAGCAACACACACACACAATCTGTAAGTCTAAACATGCGCGGCACATCACTACATGCATTGAAGGGATAGTTCACCCAAAAATGAAGATTCTGTCATCATTTACTCACCTTCATGGTGTTCCAAACCCGTAAGACTTGTTCATCTTCAGATCACAAATGAAGATCATTTTAATGAAATCTGAGAGATTTCTGTCCCTCCATTGATACTCTACACAACTACCACTTCAGTGCTTCAAAAGGCTTAAAAAGACATTGTAAAACTAATCCATATGAATCAAACAGTTTAGTCCAAATTTACTAAAGAGACTCGATCGCTTTATATGATGAACAGATTGAATTTAGGCTTTTATTCACATATAAACACTGATCAGCGGACATAAACAGAAGCTCAATCATACTTGCTCGATGCACAAGAACAAACCTGATTGGTTCTTACAGAAGCTCAAACATACTGTGTACCAAGAGAATGAACCTCGTAAATGATGTGTGCTTTTAATTAGGGCTGGGTGATATGACAAAAAATTAAAATCTCGATTTTTTTCAGAACGTTTGACCGATTCTCGATTTTTTACGACTTGAAAATGTAACTACAACATGATTCAAGTAACTTGTTCTTTATTAACCCGCAGGTTAAAGAACATTCTATTCCAAGTGCAGCGCACATGAAGTTGTCAACATGACGTAAATGTTAAACAAATCACTTGTTAAGTATCTTTGCAGAAAAGATGCACGAGCTACAACTACATCTTGTACAAACTTGTCTTATACATATTATATGTTCAGAAATAATACGAGGAAAAAATAATGCTTAAAAAAATCTCAAAAGTCAAGGTAATTCAAATTCAAAATGACTGAAGATATAACACCAGTAGACTATTAACTATAAATGTTCTGCAAAAACAGCAGCTTTCAGCCAGTCACCATGATGCAAACATGAAATATCAGACATACTGTAGTAGTTACAGGTTTTTTATTCGCTTGCACCGCTTTTCCATTTTTTTCTATGTAAACATGGATGTGTTTGACTGTTGCACTAGCATCTCTTGCAGTGTCTCATGCATTAAACGGCTTTCTAAAAACACGGCGCTCAAGTTAAAATAAGTTCTACTCCCATCTTCTTGCATGTTTTTCCTATTCCACTGCCCGCGTCGCATCTTTATCAACACAAAAGCGCGTATGTCGCCTAGCGATATGAGCGCGTCACTCGTGAGCGTCTAATCACGTGCGCCGACATGCGCTTGGATCGTTATTTTCTCTTTACTGTTATCATTGGCATATTGTCAAAGTGTCGATTTCTAACACTTGGTATTATTTTTATTCAAAACCGCAATTCCTTGATTTCTAAAAAATAAAATCATGGCAAAACATTAAATTAGAATTAATTAATAAAATCGGCAAAAATCGCCCTAGCTTTAATTAATGTAATGTGAATAAAAGCCTAAATTAAATCTGTTCATTATATAAAGCGATCGGGTCTCTTCAAAAAAATTGTAAACTGCTCAATTCATTTGGATTCGTTTTACGATCTCTTTATGAACTTTTTGAAGCCTCAAAGTGGTAGTTGCGTCGATTGTCAATAGAGGGACAGAAATCTCTCAGATTTCATAAAAATATCCTAATGTGTGTGTTCTGAAAGTCTTACAGGTTTGGAACGACATGAAGGTGAGTAAATGATGAAAGTTTAAATTTTTGGGTGAACTATTCTTAAAAATTGTATGCTTATGCTAAATGAATGTAACTATGCAACAATGTTACTTTAACTGACAGAAGGTCGACATGAGAACATTTTGTTTAAACGTATAAAATATGTACAATTAAAAGAAAGAAAATACATAAACAACATTTCATTTTTACAAAAAAAAAAACTAAACTAAATAATAGTGCTGTCAAATTATTAATCGCGATTAATCGCATCAAAAATAAAAGTTTTTGTTTACATAATATATGTATGTGTACTGTGTATATTTATTATGTATATATAAATACACACACATACAGTATATATTTTGAAAATAGTTACATGTATACATTTATATATCTATATTCTTATATTTTATATTATATATATAAATATAATTAATATATAAACAACATATTTTTCTTAAATATATACATGCATGTGTGTGTATTTATATATACATAATTAATGTACACAGTTTACACACATATATTATGTAAACAAAAACTTTTATTTTTGGATGTGATTAATCGCGATTAATCGTTTGACAGCACAACTATATAAGTATCTGTACATACAATATGACTACATCAAAAGAGTTCAATCATAACAACAAAAAGCAGAGGCAGCGTGTTGTAGTTACCCAGCGTATCAGGGACGCGGTGTTTGACGGCAGGTGGCGCGCTCTCTTTGCGGGTCAGCGGGCTCTTACGGGTGTTCAGGTGCTTCTTTAACTTATGCTTCACCTTCAGGTTGGGCTCTGAGGCTGCAACAACAACAAAACAACAACAGCGTAACCAAAAGGAAGTTTTCAGTCAGTTTGGGTCGTTTAGTTAACTGTCAACAAGATCGTTTGCTGCACTTTTGCAGGTTCAGTTGTAGTTCATTTGTGCCACACGCCTGTGTTGACGTGTCATCAATGCGCTCTTTAAAAAGTAACAATTCATGATGACAAATAACAACCATGTGTATAAATGAAAATATGCAGTACCATCAATAAAATCGACATAACCACAACAAACAACCAGCATGTGTTTCATAGACAACCTACGGGCTGTAATAACCGCATGTCAACACCTGAGATTTAAACTGGATTGTTCCAGAGTCTACACAAATAACATAGTCACACACACACACACACACACAAGCCAGAAGACAATTAGGATGGGTAACTTTTTTTTCTCAGATTTTAGGGGAGATGCTTTAAAGTGCAGCTTCTCAGAGTGGGCATTTGATAGCATGCTATGTTTACCATGTTTGCTAACGTCTAACAGTAACTGTTGTATCTCTACATTTATTTTTTAGCTCAGTATAAAGAAATGTTTCAGGACTTTCGATGTTTCTGCTTGATACGCAAAAACCAACAAGTATGTTTGAGCTTGCATTTAACACAATTGATGAGCTCAATGTATGTGTGTTTAGCAATGCTTATATGTGAATAACGGCTAAATTAAATCTGTTCATCATATAAAGCTGTCGTGTTTCTTCAGAAAAGTTATATTACGCGTGTTTGCTTCATTTGGATTCTTTTAACAATGTTTTATAAACTTTTTAAAGTGTCAAAGTTTAGGTGAAATGGACTTTCAATTGTCTTTTTTTTATTTTGACTGACAGAAATCGCTCAGGTTTCATTAAAACATCTTTGAGCTTAGAAGACGAGGGTGAGTAAATTATGTCCGAATTGAAATTTTTTTGTGAACTATCCCTTTAAGACCAAGTATTCGACTGCTCATTGACATAACCCAACAATTAGTTGATTTACAGTAGATGTGGTTTTGCACGTCTATTGACCTGTAACTACTTACAGTATATGCAAATGTAGCATCTACTTCCTCTGTTTGATCATACAGTCACAGTTCTGCTTCTGAAATGTCTTCGGTACTTCCTGCTAATTGTTGTTGTCATTGTAAAAACACTAGTTCTGGCAGCGGACGTGTTGAGAAATACAGAGTTCTGGCATGAAACTCTAGATGGCGCAGTCCGATAGGTCTAGCTCAATCTGACCTAATGACATCATTATCACATGGCACAGCTGATTGGTTCTCTCCTGTATCGGTAGCAAATGAGCTCGCTGCTCAACATTCAAATATATGACTAGTGCTTGCCGTAGCAGTTGCAGCTTGCTTCAGAAACCCTCCACCTTCCCCAGCTCCACCTGTATAGATCTGCTACGAGGTGATTCCGTCAAGACCAAACACATTAACATTGTCATGTACATTACCATGCCAATCCCTCCGAGAGTTGTCATGACAGAACTGTAATTCCACAGATGTGTACTTGCTCGTCTTTACCAGTAAATGACACGGCTCTGCGCAGCATTGTGTTAAACGTTTCCTCTTTTGACCATCGAGTACAAAGTGATCCTGACAGACAGCGCTGAACTGATATGAAGTGGACAGCTCAAGTATTTGGAAACTCTCTCGAGGACTACTTGAAAACTCGTTCTTCTGCAAACCGTTCTGTTCGATGCTGAAAACTGACTGATAAGAGTCACAATTGAACTTTTTCTGATGGCTGCTTATTGTCATAAGTTGAAAAACGTCTCCAGAATCATATTTTGGTCCCTATGCTTATATGATTTTGATTTATGCACTTTTTTTCGTCCATGCAACTCAATCATTTAAAAAGTAAAAGAATGGTTCTTCTGAAATAGCTGTGGGATTTGCATTATTGTATATGTCTAGCATTTATGTTTGTACTACTTGAATGAAACCTCAAAGTTTAATACTTGAGGTCTGTTCATATCAAAAGGAATATTCAGTACAAAAATTTTAATTGGAATGAACTTTAAATGCGATTGTTTAGACTGACACATAAAGGTGTTTTAATGTCTTTTCCGACACATAGCGAAGAAAACTGGCCAATCCATGAGCGCCTTTTTGTCACATGACCAGAGCTGAGGCTGTTACATAAAACTACAAATTGGTGGCGCACACAAACAGACTATTTTGCTAAGTGACAATGAATAACAGGAAGTATTTTTGTATTTTGGTTTTGCATCACGAATAAAAAATCTGAATGGCTGTTTGAAAACATGTAACGACTGTTTGACTTCCTTTTCTTTTCTGTGACTCCCTTTTGTGAACTTTTTGTGTTATCTGTGCTGCTTTTTCTATAAGCGCCACCTACTGTCAGAGAGAGAATTTGCATTTTAATTATAATATTAATTTTATTCTTTTTATTTCTTTATTTCCTTTTGACTGACTGTGATTTTTATTTTCATTTCATTTGATTCATGTTAATATAATTTTAGAGCAAACTTGCATTTTCTTTTCATTTTATTCATATTAATTTTATTATTTTTATTTCTTTTTCACCTACTGTCAGTGAGTGAATCTGCATTTTCATTCAGTCTGTCTGCCAATTTTATTATTATTATTATTTATTTTATTTCTAAATTTGTGACCTACTTTCAGACAGTGAATTTGACAGGGGAGTGTCTTTCAGAGGTAAATGAGAAGTTACGCAAGGCCTTGTTGACAGAGTGCTGCCTGGAGGAAAGCGAGGCGCTGGGACTGAATGGCTTCCACACTCATCCCGCCCGTTCTGTAGATGCTGATGAATGAACTGTCATGTGATGTTCTTTATATGCATGTGTGACGGTGACATACTTGCTCGTCTCAGGGGTGGTTCGTCAGGCCCTTCGCTGAGAGCTGGTTTTGTGGAGGACAGGAGCGGCTGTACAGGAGCGCCGGGATCTGGAACCAACTCCCTGAGGGAACACAGAAGACCTTTATTTTAAGATCTGAAGAAAAGCATGTACTTTTCATGTGTACTTTAACAGTTGTGGGTGGATATGAGAGCTGTTTCTAACCGGTAGGCAACGGACGGGCTGCTCAGAGGGTTGGAGTTGGTCCTCTCCAGCACCGCCTTCTGCTTCTTCAGAATCACTTGCGCCAGTTTCTGCTTCACCAACGCACTGGCAACAGCACCTGTCAACCAACACAACCAGCCAATTAAAAGCAAAAAAAGCAAAACATTCTCAGTTTTTGAATTTAATATTCTCAATTTAATATTTTCAGAGAGTGTGGCCCTCCATAAATACAACCAGCCAATGAAATAATGCCAAACCACATTATTATAAAAAGTGGCAATGCAAATATAGATCTTTTTCAATGACAAGTATTCTAATTTCAAGTATACTAATAATTGTTTTTAAATTCATTTTAATTTGAAATATTACTTCAATAATATTAATTTTATTTCTTATTTTGTTTAATTATTTTCTTTATTTTATATTTAAATTTAATTTGCATCATGTTTATTTTTTTTTATTTTCTTATTTTAGTTTAGTTTAGTTTAGTTTAGTTTAGTTTAGTTTAGTTTAGTCCAGGACAAGGCCATTTTAAGTAACTAAAGTAAGGTTTAATATTTTAAAATTAATTTAAAATTAATTTATTTTCTTTTTTATTTTATGTTAAAATAAAAATATACAGTTTAAAATGTATTTTATTTTTTATTTTATTACATTGATATTTTAGTTTTTACTTTACTTTTTAAAATTAATTTTAATTTTTTTTTATTACGTTACGTTATGTTATTTTAGTTTATTTTATATTTTTAAATTAATTTTGCATTTTAAATTAATAAATTGTATTATTTTATTTTATTGCGTTATGTTTATGTTATGTTATTTTTACTAGTTTATTTTATATTTTATTTTAGTTTAGTCTATTTCAGTTTAGTTTAGTTGCTCCTGAAATAGGCCATGTTAAGTAACTAAAGTAAGGCCAATTTTTTAAAACAAGGCAAATCTGATATTACTAGTCACTGACACAATTTTGTTTTAAAATGGCAGTTTTCTCCCACAGAAAAATGTCAGCGATGTTTCTATCGAGGGCCTGCATTGTGAGTGTGGTTGAGCTCTATTGTGGAGCTGTGCGGCTGAGGTTGCAGTGAGGTCGAGGGAAGAAACTGCATGTTGACTTAGTGCCTCCCTGTCCATCCAGAGCGGACTTTATGTGGCGGCTACATCATGCTGGCTCTAACCAATCTGGTCAATATTGACACGGTTACTGTTTGCGCTGAGCCATTAATTTTACCTCTCTGCAGGTGCTTTCTCTCACAACAGCCATAGCATCAGCTGGGATAAAAAAAACCTCCACCTGCAGTCAATTATCACCATGCGAGAGACACTTGTGTATCACCTACACACTTCTGATGTGGAAATGTGTTTTTTAAGTGAGTAATTGATCTTTTTTTGGACAAGAACAGCACTGACTGTTACAACAAATCACTATCTGCTTATCTGCACAATTTATCTAATAGCAAATCTGGTGGCAGTAGGTTTCAGACTCCAGATGTTGTTCAACAGGATAATTACTGCTCTCATTCAGTGAAAAATAAACAACGACAAAAGTGGTATTAATGTTTGCCAGCGTGAGCAAGCGCTGCCGCATGACAGCTCTGGAGACGCTCATGATCACAATGGAGCAATTCTATGGGATGATATTAGACTCTAAATGATTAATAGATGCACGCACAATTATCCATGTACTGCATACATTTTATACATGTATCTTACTAACCACAAACAAATGTCTTTCAATTTGAGTCTGTGGAATTCGGGATTAAATGATTGTGCAGCGATTTGTACAAATACAGACATGTTTGTGAATAAAAATGTTTTGTTCTGCATTCATATATCATAAATTGCTCATGCAAAAAGGAATCTTATCTATCTATCTATCTAGCTATCTATCTATCTATCTATCATCTATCTATCTATATATCGAGCTATCAGCTATCTATCTGTCTATCTATCGTCTATCTATCTATCTATCTATCTATCTATCTATCTATCTATCTATCATTTTGTTATCATTCTATCCATCTATCCTTCTATCTATGTTTTGAACATGGCACCAAGGTTTTTTGGTGATCCAGTACATCATAGAAATGTCACAGTAATATTTTAATTAACTTGGAGTAACTGGTAAATACATGCAGATATGTTAACTATTATTCTGTGCCATGAGATACATCACAGTACTATGGTTTCACCATCCATCCATTCATGTATGTCTGCGAAAAGCCCCATGGTATTGTATGGTATAGTATGGCACGATCTGTAATTGCTGTAACTGGCAGGTAACTAGCGTCTGTGAGACAGTAAATACCCTTTATAGAACAACAGGGTTCCCATGTTCAGTGCAGACTCCTCCCATGTGTTTTCAACCACAAAGTTTTGTTTTTACTCTCAGAGCTATTTCCTGAGGCAGCCGTGGCCCTGTTTCAGTTGAGCTACTATTAAAAAGGGCACTAGCACAATGGAAAACTCTTTTTCTCAGTCGATTTAGTACATTTCTTAAATCGACCGAAATTCTTGAAACTGTTCGTTCAACCTCCACAACACAACCTACTTGTGCACAGCACCTGTTCGATTCTTCTTAGTTGAAGAACTGTGACAAACTAAAATGTCAATCTCTTTCTTGGTGCTTAAGATGCATATTAGAGAGTGATCAATCATCCAAGTGCTTCATCTTAAAGGCATTTCATTCATGAAAAGACAAAAACAGAATCTCATATCTGTCTTGTTAATCAAAGTAACCCCAACCCTAAACTAGCATACTGTACTATGTTTGGTGACCACTAGTCATTCTTTTAGACATTCACTCTGTATTTGTTAAGTAAGTAGCTACATAGTAAGTCTGTGAACAGCAGTTATTTAAGGGTTATTGTGTGTGTGTCACTCACTCTGTTGACTCTTGTCCTTGTTTTTAAGTTGCTGTAGTTGTTGTTTCGCTAGTTCCTGGTCTCGTAGATGCTGCTCCATGTTATATGACTACAAAAAGAGGAGTTGTCAGTCATAATTATTCATAACAATGCTGATTAGTTTATCAAGCTCATTACAGTTTTTCTCAATTGCTTTGGCTCAATTCTCGAATATTTTGCAGACATGCAATAAAGTTCTGAAGTTCCAGCAAACAGTTGTGACATTTGCACTCACAGTTTAGAGAATGTTAAGATTGTTTCGAAAAATGTGCCAAAGCAATTGAGAAAAAGTAAGTGCCCTGTAAATACATATATATTGGGTCTCATTAATGAAAAAAAGTTGGTTAATAAATCTATTTGTTCATGAATTTATTCTATTCATGAATTTTGTTCATCAATTTAGCAACAATTACAGATAAGCTGCTTTTAAACTCATTGTCCAGGTAAAAATGGGCTAATGCTAATGCTAATCTAATGCTAGGTGTTAGGGTACGACGGGGCTAAAGGCACAACTTAAGAAAAAATGTGCTTTTTACTGTGCCTAAAATGTATAATTGCAGAAAACATATACATTTGTATTGAACAGTTATGGAGCAACAGATTTTGTGTGGAAATAAATCATACAAGTCATTTATTTTGTTTTAAAATCTTATAAATGTATGAGGTAGCTTTAGTATGAGGCTTTGATATAAATACTTTAGCTAAAATAATGTTTTTTAATAATGTCTAAGTTAATACTCATTCAAAACAATCACTTTAGCAAAGTTTGTACTATTTTCTGCTAATTTTGATAAATAAAATAATCAATTTTTGTTCAATAAATATGCTGTCATTAAAATGTTAATATAAAAATATATTTTAAAGTACAGAAGCAAAATCATTTTAAAAAGTAAAGATTCTGAAAGTATTGAAGGAGATCCCATACTAATATAGATTTACAGCAGTAACAACAAATGATATTTTATTATATGATATGATTAATATCATATTTTTAAATATGATGGTTTCATTCTAAACATGGTGATTATCTCTAATATGGACACCCAACATAATATATGATATTTACCATCTGAATCTAACCATGTCATGTCAACAAATGGAAGAGTCATCCATCTATTACTTTTTACCCCAAATACTATACTTTTACATATTCTTTCGTTATTTAAAAACTGTTGCTTTAAACAAAACTGAAAATCATTAAGAAGACCTTTGTCTCAAAATATATGCATTTATTTCAACGATTCTCATTTGCTACTTAAATCTACAACATTTAAAAAACATGAAATATTAGATCAAGTAAGCACAGGATCAACTTTGCGCTGTTGCGCGCGATCGCGTCAAGGATCAGACAAATATACACATGCATCTTGAAAAGCGAATGTTTTGGAAAGTGCCACGCCATGGTTTTGTGCCATCTAGTGGTTTGGAGGAATATATCAAAGGCGCCTTTTACCCCGGGGCATCTTTAGCCCCGTTGTACCCTAGCTAGGCTCTGAAATTGCTGTATACAGGTGTAAAACCAATTGGATAATCATCAGTCAAATAAACTAACCCTAACCATAAAATGTGTCCTATTGGGCTAAAATTGAAAAGAACTGTCCGAAAGAAGCAGTTAGCAGAAAATAATCAGACTTCCCTGCTTGCCCGATGCTATGGATTACAGGTATTAATGTTGTAAATAATGTTCAGTTTCTTGCACAGACTGATGATTTTGTGCACTGTATTGCATGTGTTGCGGTGGTATGACAGGTGTCTTTGTCTCTGACTGCAGGGAGATCATGTGTGTGACATGTACCTGTATGCGCTGCAGCTGCTGCTGGCTGTACTGGGAACAGTGCTGTGGACTGAAGGGGCCGATCAGCAGAGGGGGGTGCAGAGGGGACAGGAAGGCCGGGTTCGAACCCGGACGCACCAGACGCTCACCTACACGCAGGTCCATGGGGGCGGGGCCCGTGGGAGACGACACAGAGTCTTCTGAATGGACAGAGACACAGGGAAATTCATTATTAGAATGAAAAAAAAAAAAACTTTCAGAAATAGAATAAAAATATATGTGAAACTAGAGTCAAAAAGAATAATTAGAAAATATAGTAAAACTGTAACATTGTAAAATATTATTATAATTCAAATTAATTGTTTTTTAATTGAATATATTGTAAATTGTATTTTATTCCTGTGATCAAAGCTGAATTTTTAGCATCATTACTCTTCAGTGTCACATGATCCTTCAGAAATCAGTCTAATATGATGATTTGCTGCTTTTATTGTTGTTAATATTTCTTATTATTATCAATACTGAAAACAGTTGTGCTGCTTCATATTTTGTGGAAATAACACTTTTTTTCATTATTCTTTGATTAACAGGAAGTTCAAAAATACAGCATTTATTTGAAATAGAAATATTTGTGAAATGACTATGAAGCCTATTTTATGGGTGATATTTTTTTTATACAAGTGTCTTGCATTTTAGTATAATTCTCATTACATTCTATACCTATTTGTTTTTTTGTGATCCTAAAACAGGCTTCATTTTGTGTGTGTGTGTGTGTGTGTGTGTGCGCGTGTGAAATATTCTTTTCAGCCTTAATGAAACTCATTAAAATATCATTACAGTTACTGAGCTTGTGATGACTTGCCCATGTGACAACTAGCCCCGGTCACTCACCCTACATCGTTTTGATTTAAGAATTTACGCTGTTTAAATCAATTGCAGGACATTTCCACTGGTGGAGAAGGCAGAAGAAAGCAGGTGAATATACAGAAAAAGAGAAAAGGGATGGAGAGAGAGAGGGAGAGAAGTGTATATCAGTGCAAGCACATGTTCCAGCGTTTCCCTTACGGCACATTCCACAGTGATATATAAGTCGGCCTGATTTCCATAACTTTTGCATGCTGCTTTAAGAATATTTGCATAGTACCAGTGACTCAATGGGACGGACTGCCTCACCCTCACACAGAGCAGACAGGAAAATCACAAAGCCGCCTTGTGCATGTATGTCGGTGCATATCTGGGGTCATGCTGGCTCCCTGCCCAGGTAAAACCAGAGCGCTTGACAGATTTCTCATCCGAAGAGTTAAAAGAGCACTTCAGCCATAGTGTGTAGTAGTGTAGTAGTAGTAATAGTATATGTTTGCGGTCGTAATGATGACAGTAGCGCACACAAAACAGTATTTGATCCGTGCTCCGGAGTGGTTAGCGCTCACACTGCATGCGTACCGCGCCCGAGCCCAACCGAGCCGTGCCCTGGTCCACCTCTTCCAACCGGGCCAGGGACAGCTAAACGAACCGTGCTCGAGCGCGGCGCGGAGCGCTCACACTAGTCAAATGAACCGGGCTTTGGGGGTCAAATGCGATCAGGCACGGTTCAAAACGCCTAGTGTGAGTACACCCTAAGAAATGAGATCAAAAGAGGCTAATAATGAGTATAATAAATGTTTCTTGAGCAGCATATTAGAATGATTTCTGAAGGATTATATGACACTGAAGACTGGAGTAATGATGCTGAAAATTCAGCTTTAATCACAGGAATATACTACATTTTAACATATTCACAGAAAACACCTATTTTAAATGATTTTTTTAATTATATTAATTATAATTAAATGATATGGTTATTTTAAACCTAATGTAAAAAAATATGATTAAAGATGCATTAAAAATATGTACTTTTTCTGTTCATAATTCATGCATCGTGTTCACTGAGTTAATGATGTGTTAAAATCTATTGATATATTTAAGCCATTTTGGACCATTTTACATGTTTATTTTCTGAAAATTCAGCTTTCACGATAACAGGAATAAATTACATTTTAAGATATATTACAATAGAAAACTGGTATTTAAAGGGGTCCTATTATGCTTTTTCACTTTTTCAACTTTAGATTTATATTATTTACTATTCGTCTCCAACATCAAACCTATGCAATGAAAAAGCTGGACAGGCTGATATTTAAATGCAATGTCAAAAATATGATAAAGCGTGTTTTTTTCTGTTTATAATTCATGCTGATGATATGTTAAAATCTATATAAATCTGTTATATTTAAGCCATTGTGGACTAATTTATATGTTTATTTTCTACTTTTCAACTGACTGCTGAAAATGCAGGTTTGCCATCACAGGAATAAATTACATACATATTAAAACAGAAAACGCTTATTGTAAATATATTTCTGATATAACAATATTGTCATATTACTGCTTTTACTGTATCTCTCATCAAAAAATGCAGCCTTGGTGAGCATACGAGCATAAGTAATATTATCAAAAGAGGCGACATGATGTGACATTTGAAGATTAAGATGAAAAACTGTATGGAACGGCCAAAGGTGACCTGCTGGAGTTGTTTACACGTCAAGGGATGTCCTGACATGTTCTGACACAGACCAGGATCTCCTCAGCCCCATTTTAGGATCTTAAAATGGAGAGGAGGAACATCTTGGCACCGCAGCCCTGGATGCCAAACGTGTTTTGGGTTCCTGCTTCCCTGAGCTCTCAACATCCAGCATATTCCCACCCAGACCCAGTGTACACGATCTGCAGCGCTCCACCGTATTGCAGGAAATAACACGACTCCCACATTTCTTTTTCCTCAGCATTCCCTTCCTGATAACACAACACGCACTATATTCCGCCCTGGATTATTCCAGCATTGCATGGCATTCCCAGAAATGACCTGTCGGCCCAGGCTTGACAGCTTCAGGAAAGGAACTCAAGGTGGAATTGAGCAATATGGTGTTTTCCGACCTTTGCAGTGCTACGGATATGAATAATCGTACAAAATAAAAGTACTATACTACTATAACGCTACTTGAAGCGCCTTGTAAATCTATGAATATGGTAATCATTCAGTACCAAATACGTTTATAACACCTGTTATGATCGTTTATAGTACAATAAATAAATGTAATATATAAATAAAACATGAATACATGTGTGTGTGCGTGCATTGAGGCAAGCGGTGTGTGTTTGTATGCATGCATTTTTTTTGTACTCCTACTCAGAATGGCAAACAATAGTGTAACTCTGAGCCAGCTCAACAAAAACATTAATAAAAGTGACAGACAAGCAGATGTGCAGTGGAATGCACACAGGAATGTGTGTGTGTGTGTGTGTGTGTGTTTGTGTTTGTGTGTGTGTGTGTGTGTGTGTGATTGGACATCTTCCTTCAAAGCTGTGAGTGTCTGCAGGAAAATATGTGTAAGTATGAATCTGCTTCTAAGGAAACTGTGAGTTGGTGAATATAAGCGTGTGAGACCGACTACAAACTAAACTGGTTGTCTAATGGGAGAAATTTTTTATTTTTATTTAGTCTTCATGAACAAACACTTGAGTTTCAAAATACACTATCATTCAAAAGTCTGAGGTCAGTGAGGTTTGTTTTAAAAATAAAATTAAAATACTTTTATTATGCAAGGATGCATTAAACTGATCAAATATGGCAGTAAAAATATTTATAATATTACAAAAGTTGTTTTTTTTGTCAGTCATCAAAGAGTCCTGATAAAATACATCACGGTTTCCACAAAAGATTAAGCAGCACAGCTGTTTTCAACATTGAAAATAAATTCAGCATATTAGAATGATCATGTGACACTGAAGACTGGCGTAATGATGCTGAAAATTCAGCTTTATATCACAGAAATAAATTACATTTTAAAATATATTCTAATAGAAAACAGTTATTTTAAATTGTAATAATATTTCACAATTTTGCTATTCTAACTGAATTTCTACTCAAAGAAATGCAGCTTTGCTGAGCATAAGAGACTTAAATAAGCAATAAAAAAATCTTACAGACCCCAAACCTTTTATCATAGTATTTTGGAATATTAAAATACCATGGTATTTCAATCTTAGATTTTTAGGGGTAATTGCTGGAAAGTGTTTAATTTCTTGAAATAAAAGCCGTCGCATTCGATCTAATATTGATGTTCTCACATAAAAAGCAGGTCTCGATAATATTCTATAAGTCTGATAGTTTATAAAGGAATATATCACGGCGTATGAGCAATAGCAACACTAATAGTAATTATTAATAGTTGTGATACGCTAACCTAACTGTATTTTAGGACAAGGCACTATTTAAACTAGGCGCATGTTTTCCTTAAATGATGTAGACCCTTGCTCAATATTTGACTGCAGTTAATTACTTCCTGAAGCTGCCTATTCAGTATGCAGTGAGGAAGAAATGCTGGCACGTCAGAGATAATTTTAGGTTTTTGCAATATGTCACTTGTTCATGTAATGTATGCAGAACATAAAGTGTGAAGGAGTTGCTGACAGACAAACCCTTAAAAGGCTCTTCAGTGGTTCAGTTCAGATCATAAAATCCCATTATGCTGGACGGGGTTCTTGAATTGAACTTTGAAGATTAAAGACCTTCTTGATGTTACATTATACGTTCTTCAGTTCAATGCATTGCTTTGGGGTTGTTTTACATAAAATTCCTTGTTTAAAGTTCTGTGTAGAACTTAAAAATGGTGTTTGCCTTTGCGAAACATGCCACTGAGATGCCAGGCTGTTGTCATGCAGTTGTTAAAGTGTTTAAAGTGCTTCATAACTGTGCTAAGCAGTTGCTAGGTGGTTATTTACTGGCTCAAGTCAAAAGAGCCCCACCAAGTCCTTTTTAAGGTCTATTTACCACCACCAGTCTTTTCAGTGAATAAATGCTAAAAGAGACACTAGAGCTAGGTGTATGGTCACAGAAGTGACGGTGAGACATTTATTTCCATTACTAGCATCAGACCGACAGAAAAAAAACACAAGTTCCAGTGTATAACACACTCCCACTTCCAGCCTCTCACACCTCGACCTGTCTGACCAGCACAACCAGTTTAAAAGTCCTCTGACTGTAAGTCAAGCCATGTGTGTGTGTGTGTGTGTGAGTGGGTGTGTGTTGATATAGTCAGATGCTGACTCACTTCAAAACCTCTGTGGATCAAAAATAACACTTACAGGTGCTATCAAAGGT